ATTATATATCATAATCAGTATGTTATGCCAGTGCCCACAAGCAGAGGGAGCTATTGACCACCTCAGCACACAATGCTTGCTGGTTTAGGAAAGGCTTTCCTCTCCACACCAGCTATCTCAGTCCATTGTAAATGTGCAGACTTCACCTTATACTAGAAAACAAAGATATGCTGATATTAATTTTTTTAAAAAGTAAAATCCCAGCACATTCACAGTTTTAGTTTGTCTTCTTTAATTTGTAGTGTCATTTTTTGATTTGGAATTCGTTTTAAATGTGTAATGTAGCTGCCAAAGAGTCAAAAGTTTTAGATTGTTTATATGAAAGAGTCTTCTTTAGTTTGCATTATTCACTTTTGTTTGGATTTTGCTTTAAAATTCCAATTTAGTTAGATTAGTATCTTGAGATTAGTATCTTGAATCATATCGAACCGAGAGTCAGGTGAATCGTTGCATCCCTGAGGGTGAGAATGTGGTAAAATCTGAATACATGGTAAAAATTAGGCTGCCTTGCGGGCTTTTCTTTTTCTGGATTGCTTTTAAAAACACTGTCGTTTAGGTTTAGGGAAGAGGGTGGATGGGAGATTGGTCAGTAAGTCAGTCAACAGCGGCCTCTGGTGGATTCACTCGAGAACAGCAGGCACGGATGGCATTTGTGAGAGAAATTTGAGATCTAAAAAAACAAAAACTACAAAATAATTTACCTCCTGGCATGTATTTCATGCTCTCCAGAAATGTATACAGGGGTACGTAATCAGAATGAGCCTGGGTTGGTATAATCTATAATTAGGCAGCTTCAAAATAACCCATGTGACCTCAGGAGAGAAATGATGACCTTCAACAGCAAAACAATCATTCGTTTCCAGGAAATAACAAAACAAAATGTTTTTGTTTTTGTTTTTTACAAAGAATGCTTGCCTTGGGCTGAGATCCACATCTGCAACCTTTTACATGACGTTGCTATCTGGAAATGTAAACTGCAGGAACCAGCTTGTTTACAAGCGTGGAGAAGGAGCTCTGTCCTATTTTTAATGATTATTTCTGTATTATTTGATTATTTTTGTTGTTAAAATGGTTTGTTCATACAGTAGATCTATTTTTGATACCAAAAAGCCAAAAATACAGGTGAAGTCAGAATTATTAGCCCCCCTTTGAGTATTATTTATTCATTTTAAATATTTCCCAAATGATGTTTCACAGATTCAGGAAATGTTCACAGTATGTCTGATAATATTTGTTCTTCTGGAGAAAGTCTTATTTGTTTTAGTTCGTCTAGAATAAAAGCAGTTTTAAACTTTTTAAACGTTATTTTAAGGTCAAAATTATTAGCCCCTTTAAGCTATATATTTCCCGATAATCCACAGAACAAACAATCAATGACTTGCCTAATTACCCTAACCTGCCTAGTTAACCTAGTTAAGCCTTTAAATGTCACTTTAAGCTGTATAAAGTGTCTTGAAGAATATCTAGTCTATTATTATTTACTGTCATCATGGCAAATAAATCAGTAAAAATAAAAATGATTTCATCATTGTGAAGTCAAGCTTACCTTCGACTGGAAATATTTAGACAGACGATGCTTTCTGAGTTTAAAGCCAGGCCTACTTACACTGTTGAAACGAACACCCAATATATAGTATGAACGACAGTATACGGTACACAATACAGTAATGACAATATACAGTACGAACACCCAATATAAAGTATATATAACAATATTTACAAAATAGCAATCGTGCTAAATCATACCTCTTCGGTTTTTGATTGGTGACTAAGCTCAGCTTAGGACCAGATGCTGGACAAGAGCTCTGCGGAAACTGTGAGGGATTTCTCCAAACTTGTTTAGTTTCATTCGGACCATTCCAACGATTTATTATCGGTTTGTCTATAAAACACAAAATAACATATCGGTTGTGCTTATGATACCTAAAAAGTTTTGCTTTGTGCTCAGTTGTGAGTGCACGATGATTGTACTGGTTGGCTCCTTCTTCGACGCAAGCTGGTTGGCGATGAATAACGACAGCAGGTCCACATTTCCGGTGCTCTGCTCTTGCGTTTTTCTCAAGTCTGGAGTTGTATGTCTTTTCATCTTTTGCTTCTGAAAAAACGCCTTGAGGAAGAAAAGACAATCAGAGAATAGTTTTCAAATTTAAACAACACTAAAATGAAAACACTGTATCCTTACTATTTAATACAAATTTACCTGAGTGTAATTTCCCCCCTCACATTATTTAAAATACAGTTTTAATGAATTTGTTATGATTTTTTAAATCACCACAGAACAGGAATCTAGCCATGATAACGTTAACGTTACGTCTTTGGCTACTATCAATAACTTAGCATAATTTTTGACACTGTAAACGATCATTTCTGGAGATTTTTTGCATAAATTTGAAGGGTGGGTTTACTGTTGGGGGTTAATATTTTGTATAACCCCGTCTCTAAATGAGAAATGTGATTCAAACCGAAAAATTTTCGCAGACATTTTGTTTGCCGCCATTTC